GAGCTCGATGGGCCGAATGGCCTCCTCTCGTTTGTATAGTTCTTATGTTCTTAATCTAAACTGCAGCTAGATCAACCTTTAAGAAGAAGATGTCTCCAGATTTCATAGTTGTCTCGGTATCTCTGATCTTCTCTGACAGGGTGGAGACATGTTTGGAGATGTTCTCTATCTTCTCCTTCATTCTCCTGCTCTTCTCCTTCTCTTCCACTCTCAGTATAGCCAGTCTGGCCTCCTCTTCCTCTCTCAGGAACCCATGGAGTTTCTCAAATTCCTCCTTTATCCTCTTCTCAGTCTGCTGGAACTGACTCTTAATGTGAAAATATGTAGATTTAACACAACACTATTTTTTTTTCACTTTGTGAGGATGAAATATTTTGTCTACTTACCTTTAAGTGTTTAGCTGTTTTCTCATATTCTTCTTTAAATGTAATTATCTTCTCCAGTTTTTCATTTAATATGTTAAGTGCTGTTCTTAGTTCCTCCTGATATTAAATATCCAAAATCGAAATTAAAAATAATAATTATCCTCTGTATTCTCAAGGAATGATACTTCAGTCTTAAGTGACTAAATCAAGTGGAATTAGACAACGCAAAATATTTGGTTAAATCCTATTATGGCAACACATAAGTTTGACTTAATACAACATCTAAGTATTTTTTGCAGTATAATATGTAGTTTAATCTCCGCGTTTTGCCTGTAAAGCAGTTCAATGAACCAATTTATCCAATTAAAAACAGCACGGCGCATCCCCTTGGAGAATTTTTAGTCGTTGAAAAAACCATTTACACAAACACTGGGTGAAATAAATTCGCTGTAGAAAACATTAATTTTAAATCAACGGTCGTAAAAATCACGGTTTTACACACATTATGTAAACATTAGCTAAATCTAAATGCAAAGTGAAGGATGGTGCGTTTCAGTGCTTGGAGTATTTATACCTCAATAACCATAAATATTACCTTCATATCCTGCGCTGCCTCTTCCACGGGACGGAAATGATGGTTTCTGTGACCTTTTGATGTCTGACACACGACACAGATGCATTCCTGGTCATCCTCACAGAAGATCAGAAGTTTCTCTCCATGTAGACCGCAGTGAGCTTCCATCATCACTGGACTTTTCATTGAGGTGCAGTTTCGCCCTTATTTTTTGTCTTTAAATAGACTTCCACAGTATTGTGAGACCAGGCTGACAGGAATATCACTGATGGAGGACTTCCTCCTGCATAATGGACACTCCCGAGAACTCTTCCCTTCCCAGAACTTCTGCAGACACTACAAAACCTGATAATGTGAAAAAGAAAACTATATTTTTAAGTAGCGGTAACATTATATTGAATGCATATAGCTAAAGACCACTAATAGGAACTTTTCATGTTAGCTACCTCAGGATGTCTAAAAATACCTTTGAAAAATAACCCAATATTTACCGAAATAACCCAAATCATTATAATCATACTAACTATCATTCTATCTGTATAAGACTGTGAGTATGTATTTACTCATTTCAGAAGCTACATGAATGGAAGGTTCTATACCTCTCTAAATATTTTTTCATTCAAAAAGAACAACGGAGAGTACAGTCTATCCTGACACAGGCTATTTTATAAATAGGTAAACTCCGTTGTATACAGTGCAGGCGGTGCTTGCGGGCTGTGATGGCTGTAGTTTGCGGGCTGTGTCTTTATAGTCACCGTAGGGCGGGTTTGCTTCGCCTTTGCTTCGGAAAATACGCAGAGAGGGGCGTGTTTTGTTATTTTATTATTGTTATAAAGTTAGGCGAACCCGGTGACTTGGTCACAAATATATACATTTTAAAAACATT